GCACCCATACAGGGAAGACACTGATTCCCTCAAGGTATGAAACAGTTTTCAGCAGCCTGTAAAACATGTCACATGACAACCAGATCCGTGTGTAGATCAGTCATCTGCTAGGTCACAGGACCAGGATATAGCCAGACACCGGGGATCTGAGCTCAGTCTCTGACTGCTGAACACCCGATACAACATGACAGCCCTCAGACAGAGATAGGAACTCATGTCAGCCAGGCCTTCCTTCCAGGAGACTAGAAGCTGCCTAGAACTGCTGGGACTTGTAGCTTTGTATTGGCAGTGTGCAGCTATCTGGGCACTGAGACTGCTGGGGGTTGTAGCTCTGTATTGTCTGTGTGCTGCTATCTGGCCACTGGGACTGCTGGGAGCTGTAGTTCTGTATTGACTGTGTGCTGCTATCTGGCCACTGGGACTGCTGGGAGCTGTAGTTCTGTATTGACTGTGTGCTGCTATCTGGCCACTGGGACTGCTGGGAGCTGTAGTTCTGTATTGACTGTGTGCTGCTATCTGGCCACTGGGACTGCTGGGAGCTGTAGTTCTGTATTGACTGTGTGCTGCTATCTGGCCACTGGGACTGCTGGGAGCTGTAGTTCTGTATTGACTGTGTGCTGCTATCTGGCCACTGGGACTGCTGGGAGCTGTAGTTCTGTATTGACTGTGTGCTGCTATCTGGCCACTGGGACTGCTGGGAGCTGTAGTTCTGTATTGACTGTGTGCTGCTATCTGGCCACTGGGACTGCTGGGAGCTGTAGTTCTGTATTGACTGTGTGCTGCTATCTGGCCACTGGGACTGCTGGGAGCTGTAGTTCTGTATTGACTGTGTGCTGCTATCTGGCCACTGGGACTGCTGGGAGCTGTAGTTCTGTATTGGCAGTGTGCTGCTATCTGGATATTGAGACTGCTGGGGGTTGTAGCTCTGTATTGTCTGTGTGCTGCTATCTGGACACTGGGACTGCTGGGAGCTGTAGTTCTGTATTGGCAGTGTGCTGCTATCTGGGCACTGAGACTGCTGGGGGTTGTAGTTCTGTATTGTCTTTGTCCTGCTATCTGGGCACTGGGACTGCTGGGAGCTGTAGTTCTGTATTGGCAGTGTGCTGCTATCTGGGCGCTGGGACTGCTGGGAGCTGTAGTTCTGTATTGGCAGTGTGCTGCTATCTGGGCGCTGGGACTGCTGGGAGCTGTAGTTCTGTATTGGCAGTGTGCTGCTATCTGGGCGCTGGGACTGCTGGGAGCTGTAGTTCTGTATTGGCAGTGTGCTGCTATCTGGGCGCTGGGACTGCTGGGAGCTGTAGTTCTGTATTGGCAGTGTGCTGCTATCTGGGCGCTGGGACTGCTGGGAGCTGTAGTTCTGTATTGGCAGTGTGCTGCTATCTGGGCGCTGGGACTGCTGGGAGCTGTAGTTCTGTATTGGCAGTGTGCTGCTATCTGGGCGCTGGGACTGCTGGGAGCTGTAGTTCTGTATTGGCAGTGTGCTGCTATCTGGGCGCTGGGACTGCTGGGAGCTGTAGTTCTGTATTGGCAGTGTGCTGCTATCTGGGCGCTGGGACTGCTGGGAGCTGTAGTTCTGTATTGGCAGTGTGCTGCTATCTGGGCACTGAGACTGCTGGGAGTTGTAGTTCTGTATTGGCTGCTATCTGGACACCACAAGGTGCTACCCTGACACGAGTGTAATCCCGGCTGGATAAATCTTTCCACCTGCACGACTGTAATCCATTATAAATCTTTTCACCTAAGATTCCCACTACATTCCCATTTTTTATTAAAATAATAGAAAAAAATGGGGATGCCTATATATCAACATAGAAATAATATTTGTATAACTGCTGTCATTTTAAAAAAATTGGATCTCTATTATAATAAATATTACAAATATTATTATTATTATTATCCTATTTAATGTTATTAGTTCTTTTTTAATTCTAATACAAT